ATAATATATCAAGGTCAAAGTCTTTAGAGGTGGATCTTTTATATTAATAATTATCCAATAAAATAATTAAATAAATCAACTTATACTGCTCAAAAAAATTATGGCATAAAAAAATTTTGGGCAAAAATTGATCCACTTTGGGTAACAGTAACTCTGTGAAAAATCATCGTAGAATGATGAACTTTTTTTCAAATGAAAGTTTGGAATCTCTACTTCAAGGTACTATGGGTCGATTTAAAATTTAATGCATCCATGCTGTAAACTCTTAAATCTGGAAGCATGTTTGCCACACTGAAAATTGCAAAGTTTTGACGGAATGCACAGACTTGCTAAAATTTTTCTCGGCGATGCGATTTACAGCGTTATAAAATTTGAACTTTTCTCTTTAATTTGAAAAAAAAACAATTTGCTACGATTTTTTACAAAGTTACTGCATTTTAAAGTAATCCTTGTATTTTTCTCATGTATGGTCGGTATTTCACGATGTGCATGCGGACATGAGTAAAAGATATACACACTGTGTGCAAAATCCGATCGTCAACCTACCTGTAGTGCACATTGTGTAATGCCGACCATACATGAGAAAAATACAAGGATTATAATACTTTAAAATGCTGTAACTTTGTGAAAAAATCGTAGCGACTTGTTTTTTTTCCAATTAAAGAGAGAATTTCAAACTTTATGACGCTGTAAACCGTATCCCCGAAAAAAATTTTAGCAAATCCGTACATTCCGTCAAACTTTGCAATTTTTAGTATGGCGAACATGCTCTCAGATTTGAGAGTTTACAGTAGCATGGATGCATTAAATTTTAAATCGACTCATAGTACCTTAAAATAAAGATTCCAAACTTTCATTTGAAAAAAAGTTCATCATTCTACGGTGATTTTTCACAGAGTTACCGTTACCCAAAATGGATCAATTTTTGCCCAAAATTTTTCTATGCTATAATTTTTTTAAGCAGTATATTTATAAACATTAAAAAAGACAGGACAATAGGCTAAAGACGAGCATAAAACAAAGAGTGTCAATTAATAAAAATTCTTTAATAAGTTATTTAAATAAAATTAAAATTAAAAAGAACGCGAGACTAGTTTCGGCTTACTTAGCCTTTCTCAATCGCTATTATACAATATTACAAACTACACCGAATCCACGCATATGGAAATTTAGATAAATGTCGAACAGATCTTATTGTCCTCTTCCAGCCAAATGTAATTCCATATCAGATATTTAACATGTCGCTTCATTATACCAACGATGCTTTCCCAGCTGATTCTATGAGGATCAAACACAATTGATACGCGTTACATAAACTCACGATAACTGAGACTGCAATTTTTAACACTTACGGTAACGATGTAGAATATTAAGCTTCCAACAAGATGTTATGTTTGTGGAAGATGGTAGGGCTATTTCGTTTAACACTCGATTTAAGTATATAATCAAGTACGTATATTTAACACAGTTGAAGTTTACAGTAGTGCTTTGGAACGTGTTCACACCCTCAGCGTGCGAGAAACAGAGAGTCTGCGATGGGTTTTTGCATCTCGAATCATTTCCATCGACCAGATAGAAGATACGCCACTCTCCTCCTTTTTCGTGTCGCTTCTGATTGGTCATCCTTCTAGGGATATATCTAGATTTAAAGGAAAGAACTAAAAGGTAAAATTACATAAAAGAAAAAAACAATCCCACAATTTGTCCCCTTGGTTTTATCGACGAGTGCTCATAAATGCTTGAACATTTTTCAACAGAGTTGGCCCACTTAAGGGCTTAGTCAGGCAGTCCGCTGACATATTGTAGTTTGGAGTATGACTCACGAGAATACCCTCTTCTTTAATGGCTTCTCTTATGTAATGATATTTTCTGGATTTATAGCTTCCTCCATTTGCCAATCTCACGGCATTCATGTTATCACATCTCAATTCTTTTAAGTATCCCTCGGAAAATCCAATTTCTTGTAGCAGTTTGGAAGTCCATACAATTTCTTTTGTTCCTTCCAACATAGCTTCAAGTTCATTTTCAGTTAATGATAGTGCTACTATTGACTGCTTCTTACTCTTCCAGTGAATCAGGTCACCATTCCTGTATAATAACAACCCAGTAAAGGATTTCGAATCTTTGGTTCTGTCCCATGAAGCATCAGCTTCACACTCGATTTTCTTTACAGAATTTTTTCTTTCGAATGTCAAAGTATAATGTAGAGTCCCTTTCCAGTACCTGAGAACCCTCTTCAGTGCCGACATATGCATCATCCTGGGGTCATTATTAAATTGAGACAAACAACTCAATGTAAAAGATAAATCCGGTGTTGTATATACGCTATACATGAGTCTTTCCATTAGCTCTTGATATGCATGAGCATCAGTTTGCTCACTCTGGTCACACTCATCCATCTTGACATTCATGTCTATCGGTGATCCCACGGCGGTACAATTTTCCATCTCGTATAAACGTAATAATTTTTTTATATACTTGTTCTGGTGTACATATATTTTCCCTTCTTCCTCTTGATCTATTTCCACTCCTAACACTGTCTTCGCTTCTCCTAGGTCTTTCATGTCTATTTGTAGTTCGATCTTATCTATATAGCTTTTCTCGAAATCATCATCACTCGACACTGTTGGCATATCATCTACGTGAATGCCACAATACAAGAATTTGTTCCCCTTTATTATATAAAACAAACATGGGTCTTCTTTGGATTGCTTCAACCCACATTTTTTCATCACCTCTGTTAAGAACTCGTTCCAACATTTACCTGCCTGTTTGAGTCCCTATATGCTTTTTCTCAATTTGCACACCTGCTCCTTATTACCTTGATTTTTGTCTGGCAGTTCCATAAAAATTTCTTCCTTTAGTGTCCCGTGCAGGAATGCTGTTCTTACATCGTACATCTTTATCTTTCTTTTCTCTTAAGCTCCGATACTAAACAAGAGTCTTATTGTTTCAGTCCTTATCACCGGCGCAAATGTTTCCTGGTAATCCACTCCTGGGCGTTGACCACATCCCAGTGCGACTAGTCGGGCTTTGTACCTCCGTTGCCCTGTATTTGGATCCTCTTTCATGTTATATATCCATTTACACTTAATCACCTTTTTCCTTTCGGTCGAGACACGACGTCCCACACCTTATGTCTTTCCATTGACATGAGCTCTTCTTTCATAGCCTGTTTCCACTGCTCCCAGCTATCTGACTTTTCAGCTTCTTCGATATTCTTCGGTCGTTCTTCATTTATAATTACCATTGCTCGATTTTTATTTCTCTCAGATTTTTTGACATTTTCTTGTTCTTCTCTTTTCTTATCTTCTTCTCGCCTTTAATTTCTTCGCGCTTCCATCATATCCTTCGTTGTTCCTTTCGGTCTTCCTTTATTTCTCACTTCTATCTGTTGTTCTTGAATCTCTTCCATATTTACATTTTCATCTATTTCATTATCCATATTAATCCCGTCTCTCTCTCAT